TAGTGCGAAGATGGATCAGGGTGCGAGACCGAGGAGGTACGTTGGGCGTATGAGAGTCAAATTGAAAACCCTAATTTTTAGGGTTGTACCCTATATAAGCATAATGATAGCCTCTTTCCTTCATTTCTAAGTCAGCCTCCACATTTTAAAAACCCTAAATCAACCTTTGAGCTTCTTGGAGGTGTTCTTGAGCTTTTAGGAAGCTTTGATGCTCATTTTTTCCCTTGGGAAGGAAAGAAGAGAAGTTTAAGGTTGTTTTTCTTGGTGGGAAAACTTTGGATCCAGAATCAAAACCATGTGGGAAAGATTTTTGAGGTAACAAGTTTGCATCTTGGCTTATGTATGATTAGATCTCTTCATATCTAATTTATTATGATTTTGGTCTTCTTTGTGAGATTATGGTTGAGTTAGGTTGTTTAAGGACTCATCCTTTCAGATCTAAGTCAACCAATAAGTCCCTTTTAAGCTTAAGAGTTTCTTCTAGTCATGTATGAACGTAAAGTTGACAACTCTACGTGGTATTTCAACTCAATGAGCTCAGAACCATGGTTTGGAAAGGTTTGTCTTAATGGATTGAGAGAAAATCAGATTTGGGCTGAATAAGGTGAGTATGTTGGGCGTACAAGCAGGTACGTGAAGCGTACAAGCCTCCAAAAAAGTACGCTACGCGTACATACTCGTATGCCCCGCATACTCGGTCAGAATGGGCTTCGTGAGTTTGGGCTATCATTTGGGCTTGGATTTCTTGGGGGTTTGGTTGGGCTGTCTGTAAGAAAGTTTTTGGAGTGGGGAAATTTTATTGGGATTTAGGGTAAGTCCCTTGTAAGGGTTTGGGCCTAATTTGGATAATTGGGCTATAAGTGGACTTTGGATGATAATTGGTTTGTGGGCCTTTATGATTGAGGGTTTGGGCCTTAGTCTTGGACTAATCGAGGTGAGGGGTAAAATGGTCTTTTTACCCCATATATAGATTATTAGATTAGGTCTGGAACCCAATTGCTAATTGGGTGTTATTTTTCTGATAGCGTACGGATTTTTAGCAAATCTGCAGTAAGAGAGTATATGTGGGTTTCGGCTGTCCGAGGTGAGTCTTCTTACTATATCCATGGGTTGAAGGCACCAATGCTGACCCATTACGTGTTATGTGATATGCTAGTTGTCTCTGTGATACTTTAATGAAAGATCCCGGGGGTAACCCGTGGTACTTGGATATCAAACCATGGGGGGAGCCCATGGCATTCCTGATAAAGACCATAGGGGGAAACCATGGCAACTATATGCATGTTGCATAACGATCGGTGGTTGTATGTTGTATGGTATTTTGTAAAACTCACTAAGCTTTGTGCTTATGGTTTTTAGATTATGTTTTAGCTACTCTGGTTTTCAATTGGAAGAGCTCGGGATGAATGCATAGTACACACCACATGTCTCCGCATTCCGTGAATTACTTTGATTCGATGATGTTTTGTTAAATCTTGGTTACCTTGGTTCTGTGGAAAAGATATGTATTAATGATTTATTAATTTAAAAACATAAATTTTTATGTCATTATTTTTGGGATGTTACAATATGCAAATTCTGGAAGGTTGGTTGACTTACACTTTCGAGTGGTCCTCCTCGGAGATAAAGGATTTGGAGTCACAATAGGCGTAGGAGCATCATGAGTGTAGTCTGTGAGAATATCATGAACTGGGGCATCTGATGTGACCGGAGCATCATATGGAGTGTCATCAACTCATCATCAATATCAAAAGGATCAATAACCATAAGCTCTTATCGTGTTATGTCGTGAGATGGAGCAGGAATCCAGTAAAATAGAATACGATCCAAAAAAGTGACATGTCGAGCAACGTAATTTTTTTGACTTAATGAATCAAAACATCGATATCATTTATAACTAATCCCATATCCTGGAAAAACACATACGGGTGATCGTAGAGACAACTTATTCCAACTAACATGTAGGCAGAGAACAAAACAAGTGCACCCAAAAACTCATAATGAGGAATAATCAAGTAAGTGACAATATAGCTTCTCAAATGGAGACATACCAAAGTTATGTGAAGTAGGGATTCGATTGATCATGTAGACATCAGTTAGGAGAGCTTCTCCCCAAAAACACTAGGAACCTCAAATGATTGTAATAAAGAGTGGGAAGTTTCAACAAGATGTCTATATTCTCTCTTTCTAGCATTGTTTTGTTAAGGATTATCTGTACATGACGACTGATGTATGGTGCCATCAGATGCAAGTAGTTGTGTAAAGTCATTATAGGTATACTCACTCCAAAGTCACACCAACAATATTTTATAACAACTGAATGTTGTGTTTTGACAAGAGCTGTAAAATTGTTGTTGATTGTAAAGAAATCAAACATATGCTTCATGAGATAAACCCAAGTATAGCAATTATAATAATCTATAAGCGAAACATAATATGTGGATCGTCTATTTGAAAACACTAGAGATAGACCCCATACATCAGAATGCACAAGATCAAAAGGTACAAAAAAGAAAGAGACACTTTTAGTAAATGGTAAAGCAGAAAATTTAGCAAGTTTACAACCACTACAATTAGATATATCACAACTATTCAAATAATTCAAAACACTGGTAGAGACTAGAAACTCTGTAAACATGACGCTAACATATGTCCCAACTGAGAATACCAAAGATAAAAAATAAGAGAAAAATTACTCAAACAAAAAGAAGAGAAATAAACACTAATAGGAGCGACATCAAACATTTTAAGCTGATCCTAGACATATAATTCTCCTATCTTATGGTCGGTACCAATCATCCTCTAGGAACGTGAATCAAGTACACAACAAAGAGAATAAAAAACCTAATAACCATATTCACACAACTGACTAACTTAAGCAATATTTAAAGCAAGTGTGAGAATATAATGGACATCATTAAGTGATATATGATAAGTGACAACATAACAAACACCCTTTACATGCATATGTGTAGCACTAGCAAACATGACCGAAACAGGTGATCTATGAGACAAAGAAACAAATGATGACAAATAAGATGATATATGACGAGGTCCACCAAAATTCAAGATCCAAAAAGATAAAGTAATACCTGAAGTACTGGATACGACAAGACCTGAATGAGACATAGATGTAGACATGGTTGCTTAACTGTAAGCAAGAAATTGTCTGAACTGATGGCTGAAACAATCTAGATGGTATTTCTTGTTGCCGCTTTACCTTGTTCAATAGCAATGGGTACTAAGATTTCTATTGGTTCTTTTATGTGTAATAAACGCATTCATTCAAAGCAACTTTGAGTACTGATTTATCAGAGCTATATTGACAATAACCAGTCAAACAATAATCCTAAACCAACAACAGGCGAACAAATCAATCCCTTGAAACCAATAATGAACAACAACAAACAAACAGAACAACAAACCCCTCAAAATTGACAAATACTGACAATAACCAAACAAACTAAACTTCGAACAATAAACAAGACATCGTTCTATTCAGAAATCGCTATGAGATTCACAAATCGCGATGCAAAATCGACGAAAAACAGACAAATCAAACCAACAGTGATTAAATAACAACAATAATTCAAACCCTCAAAACGACAAATTCGAATAAATTAAACTAGAACTAAATACATAAACAAATAAGAAAATCATACCAAACAATCCTAGAATACGGATTGAATACGACTCTGATATCATATAAATTAATGAACAATAGAGATAAAATACGATTAAAGTTTTATTATTGTACGAAGAAAAATACAATTACAATAAAAACAAAAGGCAATATAAATAGGAAAGTTAATTAGATTAAGCATAACTAAAATGTAAAAGTCCAAACCAAAATAGCTATAGATTATAAAGACAACATTTTAAACCATGTGATTTTTAGTCAAGGTTTAAATTTGAACTAACAACCAAAATAGCTATAGATTATAAAGACAACATTTTAAACCATGTGATTTTTAGTCAAGGTTTAAATTTGAACTAACATTGTAATTTATCATTATATTAATGATGGGTTACCTTAAAATTAAATGGCGTATTCGGTACGAAGTGTTTGATAGCTTCTAACTTTTAGTGTTTAATAAAATATTTCGCTTTGATAACAAAGTCTTGCTTGACACTACAACCTTTTTGCGTTTAGTTTAAACAAAATGTTTTAAATCTAAATATTACTTTACTTAACATTTAACAAAATGCTACCTGCTACAAGTTACCCACTACCAACCATTTTTACCAAACGCGCCCAAAGGCTCTTACATAAATTTCATTATAAAATATTTTATACCAAGATGTTATATCAGCATATACCCCCTAACTATTAATATTGGATAGATGATATTTGGGATAACGTAGGATAAGATTTTTATTTAAGTGAGGCCATATAATGAGCAAGCAAAAACTAGCCTAACACGTGTCTTTCATGTTAACCATTTGTGAAATGGTTAAAACTTACATGCCAGTCCTTATTTTTTTGTACACTCCACTCTTGGCTTCCATTTTTAAAAGTAATGAATAATCCCCGATTGTAAATTAGATACAAATCTAAAACAACAAACACAAAGCTCAAACCAAAATCGTGTAAAGATAGAAGAGATATAGAACCGAAAGTAAATATCAACAATACCAAAGGATAAACTGTAGAACTGAAAGTAAAAAATATATATGTACACAAATGGAGGTCTTTCTCAAACAAAGTCGGGTGCCAAATTTTGGAACACGAGGGTTATAAAGATATTGTCATTAATTTTAAGGGGGTGTGTATGTAAAAGATTTTAGTGAAGTGTGTGCAAGTGGTCACAATGATTTACATTTTACATGTGAAAGATACTTTATCCAAAATATGCACTAATATTTTACAGAGCAAAAATAATTATAACATGTGTAAAAAGCTCAAACGAGAGAAACACATTCAACAAATAGCATTCAAGCTATTAAAGACATGAAAAGAAAGAGAAGCTTCCGATTTGAGTAAAATTAAAGCCAAAACAATGGTTGTTTTACACCATTTAAACACCTTCACAATCTCCATGGAGTTCTTCTCTCACTTCCCATGGAGTTTCAATTCAACCCCACCTTCAAGATTCAATATTTTTCACCCCAGATTCTTGTTTATGCAGAAAGTCAACAAAAGTAAGCACCTTTGCCATTGTTCTTCTGTATCACCTTCTAGTCAGGAACTTCAAGAACAGGTGGCTGATGGTGGTGGGAAGGGGCATTTTGGTAATTTAGTAGAAGGGTATGGATGGAAAGTGAGGAAGATGGTTGAAGAGGATCATGAAATGAGGAGTGTGGCCAATATTCAAGCTGAGGCTTTTTATGAACCAGTTATTTTATTTAATGACGTGTTCTTCCAGTTCTTTCAGGTATGCTTTAAGGACTTGTACTTTATGTAATACGTGTTGTACATTTTTCCGGGTCATTACTCATTAGTCTTTAGGGTTCGTTGGTTTCAAACGGAAAAAGAGAATCGATATCATAATCTGATTTGTATTCGAACAAAACAAAATTTGAACATTATTAATATTGTATTAAAATTCAGGCGGAGGTTCTTGCAGGACTACTTTACAGACTAAAAAATTCACCACCTGATAGGTGAGTTTTTCTTTCACGTTTATATTTATAAATAAGTATTTGTTTAAGATTCACCAACATGTCCATTTTACATGCTCAAATGATTATGTGTTTGAAGTGATAATGAATTAATTTAACCCTTAAAAGTCTAAAATGAAATTTTATCCGATTCATTAATCAAATTTCAAATGAATTTTGATGTTAGATACGCATGTTTGGTTGCGGAAACGATGACAAGTGAAATTGGGGATAGACAACAATTAGTAGGAGTCGTGGATGTTACGGTTTTCAGGGATGAATCAGTTCTTGGGTATCTATCCGGGGCAGACGAATATCTTTACGTGTCCGGAATTGCAGTGTTACGTGATTTCAGGTATGCAATAATCTTTAGTGCATGCTTTATCACAAATATAATTGATTTAATATGTATCATTTTAGAGCTATTTACTAAAATGAACGCATATTGTTATATCCTTACGTGATCATTTTTTTTTTTTTATCACAAAATAACCATCTAAATCGCTAAAAACCATGTAAATTCGTAGGGTTGATTTTTTTTTCTAACACAACAGACCTGTTATTACAAAACAAAATTTTGCTGACTTTAGCCGCGTAGTAGAGAATATAATCAAATTCCCAAATACTCCCAAGTAAAAAAGAGTCCAAATAAATATTTATGAAAAACTTAAGCAAATATAAGGTCTAGTTGAAATGACTAATTTGCATACTCAAGGTTGTAAAACTCGTTACTCGATACCTGTTCAGCCGATTACGGCCAACTACCGAGTAGCGAGTATCCGGGAGTACTTAGGGAGTACTCGGATCCGGTAATTCATGTAGAAATAGTTTTAGGGAAATTATATATGTCAAAATCATAAGTTAAAATCAAAAGTTGATTGAAATGTATAACAAAATTAGATACACGTGAATACACAAAAACATAAAAACACATAATAATCTTATTTCATGAATAATTGCTGAAAATTTAAGATACATACGTAGTAATAATCACATGTGTGTATGTTAAATAATAAATCATTAAGTATATTATACATATTAATCATCGAGTTGACTGAGTTTTACAACACTGTTCAGTTCAGTAAGGGGTCGATCAGGAAGTACTCAGGATTCTGCAACTCGCCTTGTAAAGGGGCTGAGTGGTGCGTATTCGGAGGAGTAATCAGACACCTCAACGAGTTTTACACAACTGTGCATACTTTTCCATTTACAAAATTTAAGTTGCTGGTTAAAATTCCATTAAAAGTACTTTCTAAACATGGAAGCTGATGAAAAAAATAACATTTAATTGTCTTTGTTGAGATCTTACATCATACCTGTTTCAACCACATTTTATTTTGTTGTTGTTCGTCATAAATATTTAGCTTCGTGAAGTTTGAAAATTTTGAGTTTTTGAGTTTACATGCGAAATATTCGCCAATTTGAGTCTATTTGCTAATTCGCAGCTAAAATTAACGATGTTTTTTTACAATAAAATGTTTTTCTTTGTCAGAATGTAATTAACCTTGTGAATTCATGGGATGTTTTAAGCTATTTAGGTGGTCATTATGTAACTAAATACAAAAGTATGGTCAGGTGAGTATATTTCACACCAGTTATGATACAAATTATGATCATTTTAATGAATAACTCATCATTTTCACACATCAAAACATTAAAACATGTTCACTAGATGTAGCTTACCTTTCACCAATGTATATTCACAAATATTTTACAAGACCTTGATTATTGATAGACGCAAAAAAGTTGCAAGTATATTGCTCAAGGCATGCGAAATGTTGGCTACTATTTGGGGATACAAGTATCTGGTGTTGAGAGCTTATGAAGATGATTGGGGTGCTCGAAAATTGTACACGAATGCAGGATATAGAATGGTGTCAGGTGACCCTTTATGGTCCTCAAGTTGGATAGGAAGGAGACGCCGAGTTCTTTTGATCAAACAATGTAACACAATATGAGAACAATACCTATATATCCTTGATCACTTTAATTTTTAGATCATCCTTAAAATCTTCGATAATATGCTCTTCAAAGTTGAAATCATTAGTGCAAATTATTTTGTATATTGCTTAGCCTATTTGTACATCTTTATATAGACCAGTTAGTCAGAATCATGTCTCATTGTAATCGATATATATTCTCAATTATGCTAATGAAATCATTCATAAAAAAAATACCTATCCTTATATGGTATCGAAGACCTAATCATCTCTCTATTAGGGTATATTAGTTTGCATATTGCTTAGTCCACTTATGCAGCTTTGTTGAGCCCAGTTAGTCAGGCCCATGTGTCATTATAACATGTATACATTCTCAATTATGCTAATGAAATCTTTTATGGGAAAATACCTTACCCTAATAGAAATGTTCTACTCTATCTCTGATAGTTTATTATTTCGGAACCAAATGATGACAAAACCAAAACTTTTTTTTTTTTTTTTTTGCTAATTTTTTTATTTTAACATGTTGCTAGGTTCAATAAAAAATTTCCACATTAAGAGCATAACCATGCGCAAGTCATGAATAAACTCTAGGTGCAACAAATATCAATTGTGGATTAAAATAAAACTTAGTAAAATAAGTTTTTAATAAATTTTGTAGGTGAGTTAGTTGTTAATAATCAATAGAGTTTTAAGCAAAAAAAGGTATAGTATTGTTTGTTTTTATATTATTGTGATGATGAACAATGACAAAATTAATATTATATGTATACAATTCAAATAATTATATGCAGAAAGGCCAAAAAACGAAGGCACCAACTCCTCAATTGTAGCCATCGACTCGGCACTTATGGACCCACACGTAACATCAATAATTTAAATAGTTATAATTTGGACTCGTTTTGTTAAAAAACTAAATAAAATTGTTTTTATTTTGGATCTTTCAGTAAAAATAGAAATGATTTCGTTAAGCTTACAATTTTTTTTTATATATAAGTAATATTTGTTTTCTTCTAATTAAGACCAAGTAAATTATATTTTACATATTGAATCATAGTTTTACGTGTTTTGATTGTTGCAATATTTCTTTGACTAATTCAAATTATGTTTACAACTTTACATCAACACCAAAACAAATTCAAATCAGAGAATATATCACATTACATGTACATAAAAAATAAAATAGCAAAAAATTAATAAAAAACATAAATAGCAAAAAATTCAAAAAAACAAAACGTGGTCTTATCGCTAATCTCGATCGTTGGCGGCTTAACAGCTCTTACTCATTCGCCGGCGTCACGCCACCAACTCCACCGGCCGACGTCGGCATCAAAGATCTTTTCTCGAGAGCTTATTCGACCGGACCTTGCTCAAGAAAGCCATCTTCACAGTCTTCCAAAACCCGGTCCTCCTAGCACGACCTCTCATTGAACCGACCCGACCAATACAAGACACCCTCGGAGACCTCGGTTCAGCCACCTGCTGAAAAAAGCTTTTCCCCGGCAACGACCGGTTCTTAGAAAACCGAGGGTTATCCTGCCGATCGTTCTGTTTGGCTTTCCCATCGGCGTTATGCGCCGGCGGTTTTTGCCGGAACCCGATGATGGTCGCCTGAGGTTTCTGGTTAAAGGAAACGGATCGCTGATTAGACCGAGTTTTAGTCTGATCGAATTTTCTCGCAGCCTGCACCAATTTCACCGAAGCTTTGCGTTCGATGTACGTGTGGTTGTCCAACCAGTCTGTTACTTTGTTGTTGCTAACCCAGAACGAGTCCGGCGGGTTGTTATCGTAACCACCCCCGGCGTCTGGTTCAGCATCTAAGGCGATCTCGTTTTCTTCATCTTCATGGTCAAACTCATCGTGAATTTGGGAGTTTTCATCGTCGTTGTATTCGGGATGATCGTCTGCGGTGGAATATGAATTTAGAACGTCGATGTTGCTGTTGCTTTTGCTTTCGTGATCATGTTCATGATCATGATCATTGGTGGTGGTAGGAGTCGAATCGGGAATTAGGGTTTCTGAATGCATGTAAATTTAGTGTTTTTGTGTGCGTTGACAGAGGTTTTGAGGGGCGGAGAGGAGAAAATGGAAGAACATATATTTGGAAGGGTTTCTGGTTTGATAAAAAAATAAAACATCGATTTCGAATTAACAATATATTATAATTTTAATTAATGCATACATATAAAATTTTAAAATAAGAATATTTATTTTACTTAATAAAATATAACTGAATTGAAATAGTATTCGCGTAAATTAGAATCAATTTAGTTGCAAATTATCTTTAAACATTTCCCATTATTTTTTGTTTTTAAGGAGCATCTTCAAATGGTATATTATTTTTCCACACATTTTTATTTGATAAAATACTTTTACTTACAGCTTCTTCGATGATTAATCTTTTTAAGTTTATTAAACCAACTCATATAAGTAGTCATTTTTCAAAATTATAAAAGATAGTAAACTTTTCACATATGTAGTTAAGCACAACTTCGTTAGTCCGAAACTATAAAATATATAGAATTTTCTCATATGTATTTAAAAAAAAAAAATAACGATAAAAATTTTTATAACAAAAATGTTTTGTAATATTTTATATTTTTTAATTTTTAAAGTTTTGACAACTACTTTCATATTATAGTATAACTTTTCATAAAATATATTGATATTTATTTTTTCTGTTAAATAAATAAATAAATAAACAAATTATATATAAAGTCTAGAAAAAAACAGTATCTAAATATGATTAGGGTTCGTTGCAATATATATATATATATATATATATATATATATATATATATATATATATATATATATATATATATATATATATCTTCTCTTCTCTTCTAATAAAAACCTCTTTACACATGCCACATGTCATTTTCTAAGCTTATATTTTGCCACGTGTAATATTTTGGTTAATATATTTTGATGTTTTCCCGCCCATCTACTATCCTCTAAAATAGGCTATATATCAATTTAATTTAATCATATTTGCAGTAAATAGGCTATATATCAAAGAATCTGTTAATCTTCAATTGTCTTCAACCTAATATTTGCAGTAAATACCAAAAAATCAAGATCGAAATTTGAAATCAACAATCATCGCCTTATTCTCTTTGTTTTCGTCTCCCACTACGTCCTCCGTCTCTTCTGATACACCCATTAATTTACTCTCTCCCCATCTCTCTGAAAACTCTAGAAATTCGACTATGTCATCACCTTTTAGAGTTCGGAGTTTCCAATTGGACCATCGCAAGTTCGCAACCTCACGACCTAATCATTGCATCGGCATATCATCACTGTCACAGGCACACATTGTCGTAGCCCCACCAAGACACCCCTACCGTCACCTACGTGAAACATCATGTAGGTTTTTTCTGTTTTACTTTTCCCGAATTTCGATTAAAATTCTTCATCTAGGGAACATAGAATTTATAACAGAAAAGGAGATGGACTCATCTATTCCCATAGTTGATTGTTCTTGGTTCCACCTAACAAAAATATGTATTAATGCACAAAATCGTAGTTGTGACGATATTGGGTTTGATTTTGTGCAAATGTTTTAACCATAATCTTTCATTGGTAATTCAATATCTATAAATGTTCTTTTAAAGTGTTATATGTTATATATGTATTTTATTCATCAACTAAATTAAAGCAATTTGCTTTAGGTCAAAAAGTCAAATTAATGTTGCAAAAGAAATGTTTACACAGGTTCATAAAGTTGTTTTGTCATGCTTGTGGTGGAAAAATAAAATTAGGCAATTATTTAGAAATACTTCATTCTTTGTGTTATCGCAGGTTTAAAACTTGCAAGAGGAAGTGTTTTTAAGCCTCTTTTACGGTCTCTCTCTCACTCTAACAAATTGGGATTTTAAGAGTTGAAACAATTTCATGGCCTTTGGGGGTTTTCAAGTAAGCGGCCTTATATTTATAATCAAAAAAGTTTTTTTTATTTGAATTTTTGTTTAATTGAAGAGTATATATTCCTTTTGGAAACAAAAATAGATCCTTTATCCTCCATATAATAAACAATATCATGTTAGTAATCCTTCTTGAATCATTATTTCTGAATGTATATTTTCCGAAAATGCCCTTGAAGTTAATAGCTAAAGGTCTCCTGGCTCGGCTCCTCCATTGCCCAATACCCAACATCTGTCCTTAAGCTACTCAAGCTACTCAACCATGAAGTGTATTTGATATTTATTTTTTTATGGATCCTGTTTCTATGATGATAAAATTTATTATAGATATAGTATCTTTTTTAAATTTATATTGTAATTCATGAGCTGTAATTTGTGAAACATTGCAGACAAGAGATCGACATGACGGTGATCCAACAACACATTTGCAATAATGAACCACCACTTGCCCCAAAGGTATGAACGATATCTAATATATTGGTATTTTTTATTTTCAGTTTTCCCTCTACCAATGAGTGTTTAGAGGTATGAATGATCTATTGCACACACATATACACACAAAGTATATGCTTCTGTTGTATATTATTGTGTGGCTATGACAATGTGTATACGTGTGAAAAATAGGAACAATATTTATATTTCTTTCATTTAGCCCAATTAGGGGCTAAGTGCAAGAAATATAAATGTACTTTCCGTTACATCAGTTTCTTGGTGCCTTTTTTATAACTAAGATGTTATATTACTTGTACTGTGAAATCCAACCAAGACAATAGAAAATAGGATGCTATAACACCTTATGTTTGAAAGTAAGATGCTATAAGTCCTAACCTATAGTTCGGAAATATGGTGGGACAAGTAACAGACTATATTGGTCTAAATGAAATGAATAGCCATTACTTTTATTTACTTTCATTTCATAACACTCTACTTTTCTTTCTTTATACCACTACATCTTTTGCGTATTAAAGCATTATGCTTTGAATATATAATGTTATAATTGGGTAGCTTTTTTTAAAGTATAATGACCTAATAAAATAACATTTGAAAGCACAATCCTATAATTTAGTAAATCATAAAATATGGTGTTGTAATAGAATGGAGTATGGTTCTGTGAGTTTTGTTTCTTTCGTGTGGCATCATGTTAACATTTTGGTGTTGTTTTCACTTCCTACAGGTCCAAGAGCTTCTTAAATTGTTTAACTGTCACATGGATCCTAGAAGCCTTTTTAGTATGTTGTTGCATTCGGACCCCACATTGGCATTTGTATTATTGTGATTGTCTTGATTTAATGAAGTCG